CCTTTCGTTAAAGCACAGTATCGTTTCCGTTGGAGGGAGGGGGGGGGGGGGCACGCAGGGGTACGCATGATGTGTCATTGTGATACGACCAGCTAAGAATGTCACAAAAAGGGGAACGGAAATAAAAGGTTAGGTATAATTTTTCCTTGCATCACCATAGGGCGAATCAGAGGTGTTTTCACGAATAACAGCACCAATGTTTTATGCCTGGGATCACGCCAACTGACAACGAGGGGCGGCTGCCGTGTGGTTTGGCGGGACTGAAGCTTCGGGACTGTCGGATCGTCGCTGCTACCAGGGGTTACATCAACCGAGGGCTGATGTCGCGTGGTCCAGAGATGCAGTTTCCTGTTCAGTTGGGGAGGAGGGCCCCCTCCACAACCTGGGCTCCAGCCCCCCCCCCCCCCCTACTGTGAGACGAAAAGTGTGCCAGAATCTGGGGAAGAACCTGTTAGTCGATGTGTTTTGGGGTGGGGTTGCGTCACCTCTCGTTGCTCAGCCCCCCCCCCCCCCCCCCCCACACACACCTCAATTTAAGAGACTTTGCCCCTGACCTGACCTGCCAGTTCCTCCCGTTGGTGACGTCGAGGAGGGTGATCTCAAACCTTCGGAAACGTGGAGGACTTCCCCTGAGCCTGCACGCCCCCGTTAATCTCCGCTGTTTCACCCATGCATTTATGACCACCTTCAGAACTGGGGCTGTCAGGATCCATTATCAGACCCTCCTTGTACTTTTAATGCGATACATCTTTGACTTCGGCGTTCACAGTATGGCTGAACCAGTTTTGGCACAAGAAAGAAGCGTTTGATCGTGAGGCACTATTGCCTTAGGAATTCTTTCATGGCGAATGCCCCATTGCCGATTGAAAACTCGCGTGCATTTGTGCCGCTGCTGTGGTTCACGGCTGTCATGTAGTGCAGAGAGGCGTGAGCACTGCTGGTCTCGATCGCACGCTCTCTCGGTACGAGGCAAGCCATCATCATCTGTACCTGCGCGTCCCTGCGTCGTACGCCATCACCATCTGTACCATTGCACTCCGGAGATCCTGGCCTCGGCCTCTTCACCCGTTTTGATTTCAGAGATCATCTCGAAAAGAGCAAACGATAGGTATCAATAGTTAGCCAAGTTATCCCAGAAAACGCGTGTAACCAATTGGCAAACTACTGAGGCAAGACAGCTTGGGCGACCGCCTTGAGTGAGGGACAGGCCAGAACCCCATTCAGTTTATTAGCTTTGTCCGCTGGTTTGACTATGAAACCCGGACTTTGATGTCTGCAGATACACGTGCGACGCCGCGGCAGTTCCCGCAGTCTGTAGACTGCTGCCTTCACGTGCTTCACCTTGGGGTGTGGGGAAGTGGTTTGCACGCAGATAGCCGCAGGGGCGTACGAACTTCAGCAGTGACTGGGAGGACCGGCCGTCTTTTTGAAGTCGGTTCCTTCCCATGCGTTATGATCAAGATCCTTATCTCTCACAAAGAGCGGGAGGGTCATTCCCCCCCCCCCCCCCCCTCTGCACATTCCCTGTTTCCACACCCGCTGGATGGCGACCCTATTACGACGCACCTCCCCGTCCATAAAACAGTATCGTTGCCTTCCGCAAGATACGAGATACGACAGATTCCCGGGATTCTGTAGAGCCTATCTCCGGTGTTGATGTCTTGTAGAATCTGCGTAACTGAACACGTGCAGCATGCATGCCTAGTGCACACTAGTCGCTGTTTCTGTAAATATGCCGCTGTAGCTTTGGCGATGAATTCCACAAACGGTAGGGTGTGAAACTTCACGACCGTTCGCTGCACGTCCACCCCGAGTTTACCGACGCTTATCGGCATCGGGCCGTCGCTGATCCCTCATCGCTCTGCGGTGTCCCCGCAAACCCGTGTGTAAACAGTGCGGCGAGCGGCCGAAGCCGGAGGAGAGCCGGCG